TACTCCCATCCACAGTCATGAGGGAAAGTCATTTTAAAGGGCCCTCAAAGGAGAACACATGGCTCAGTTTTAAGGCTTCATGACAACTTCTTTGTCAACTTGTCCACCCCTGTGAGTTTCTTAAATACACTAAGACGTGGTCCCTCACAGATAAAAAGGGAATACATTTATCCATTAATATCCATAGGGATGGGTTGGTTCTGGGATCTCCCTCTGATACCGTGGTCACTCGAGTGCCTCATAAAATGGCATAATATTTATATGTAACCTGTTCACTTTCTCCCATATACTTTAAATCATGTCTGGATTGATTATAATACCTAATTCAATGTAAATGATGTGTATATATATATATATATATATATGTGTGTGTGTGTGTGTGTGTTAAACCCTATTGTGTAGGGAATGCGGACATAAAGTCTACATGTTCGATACAGGTGCAAGTTTTTGAGTATTTTTGATCAGCAGTTGATTGAGTTTGTGGATGTGAATATGAGGCTGACTTGCAGTGATATATCGGTAACCATGGACATTGATTGAGGGCCCCTCTGCCAGACCCTGTACCCAGGATGTGTGTAATGAGCTCTCTGGGAAGCCCTTTAAGACAGGTGCCAACTTGTTCAGTTACCTGAGTGGAAGCAGAGCTAGAATTCAACCTGGGCAGTGTGACCCTAGGATCCCTCTGCATGCTCTAACCCCTGCAAGCTGCTGCCCCCCACTAGTGCCCCCTCCCACCTTGAGAGGCACTGTGGGTTGAATGAGGTAATGTCTAGTAATTGCTTGGCTCATCTGCCACAAATGTCATTCAGCAGTGAGAACTACTGCCCCGGAGTCCAGAACTCAGGGTCTGAGAAGGCCAGAGGCTCCGGGACAGGAACGGGGGTGGCTCTGATGGGTGGGCATCATTAGAGGATGAAGACCTGGAGGTGCTCAGGGTGTCAGGGTGTGGAAGGCACCCATATGAACCAAGTGTGATGCAGATTAACAACCCCAAACTCCATCCTTAGCCCCTTAGAACATTAGTTTGCCTTCTTTTTTCACAAACAGTTGGAGATCCTCACCCCATACCCTGGGGCCTAACCAACAGTCAGTTCTCATTGTCCTTTTACTCTTGGCTTATTGCTTTTATTTGTTTGTTGTTTAATATAAGTGTGACATTCTAAGTTCTTTTGGAAATAAATAAGTGAGGAAAGCACTCCTCAGAGTGTGGCAGCTGGTCAGGGTCTGGACACCACTACAGTGAAGCTATTTGTGTTCCTGTGGAAGTGGCCACAACCTGCAGTGTACTTGCCATACATCAAATATGGGCAGGTCTTGTGGGTGCCATAGTTTTTGTCTTTTCTTCGCCAACCATGTTTTATTGTTCAACTATGACCTCAGAACACTCCCAGTCTTCCTCAGGCTCTTGAAGAGGCCACTTTGATGTGATCGGCATTAAAAGTGGAGGGCTTTATGAGTATTGAATCAAACTTGAGTGCAGGAGAAGGGAAGGCACTGTACTTCGCAAATGAGTCAGGGGGTCTGATGACAATCATCAGAACACAGCAGAAGAGCTCCTGTTCTCGGATGGTGTTGGGAATTGAGCCTTGGTTAACCCAGCAAGGGCCTGTGCATGTATTAGGGGTTGGAGTGCAGTGTGGACATGACTGATCTTTCAAAGTCTATGGTCTCATGTTTTGATAATAGCACTACCCAGGATTGCTGTGGGAGTGTATGTGAAATGTAGTCACAAAATACACTGAATGTTTACATTTCTAAAAATTCATTACAGTAAAAGACACATTGCCATGTATCCCCCTCACAATATTTCCCCTTGCTGTGAGCATACTTATCTCATCATTCTTGCAGCCCTGGAGTTCTCTTTCATGGTTGTCTTTAGTTGTGCTGTCCTGGCTTCCTGGAGGTTCTGAATTAATTCAAAATGTTTACATTTCATGGTCATTCTGACTTTGGGGAAGAGCCTTATGCTGTATGGTGCCAGATCTGGTGAACAAGGTGATGAGGAGATACCATAATGTTTTTGCAAGCCTGCCTTTCTGCTGAACGGCACTCAGCAGCAGCATTCATTGTATTTTTATCATAACTCATAAAGACACTCGCAAAAGAGAACTTTCAGAACTGCTTCAGAAGGTAGCAAGAGTGGTAGGATAAGATATTGAAAGTGAAGAGGAATATTTTGAGGGGGCTTAATGACAGTGTGTCTTTTACTGTAGTAATTTTTTATTTAAACACACACCGTATCTTTTGATCAGACCTTGTATAAGCTATCTAATGTGATGTTTCTATTGCCACTTTCTCATATTGTGAAATAGTCAGAGGTCTCATTTGAATTTCTCTGGAGGTTTCTCCTGAATACAAAGTATTTGTGCATATTTCAGAGGCTTAGACATGGTTTGCCTGTGCCCCAAAAGTTCATGTCCTGGAAGCTTGGTGCCCACTGTGGCCATGGGAAGAAGTGGCAATCCTAGTAGGAGGTGATTGGTCATTGGAAGCATCAACAAGAGCAAGAAGGGATTCTGGCCTCATGGAATGAGTTCATTCTCACAAGAGCAAGTTGTTATAAAATAGTGAGCCTGAATCCTTTTCTAGGTTCCAGTCACCATAGGATCTCTCCCTCTCGCATCATTTCCACCATGATACTGCCTGCTGTGTTGTGATGTAACCAGAGGGTCCTTCACCAGCAGCCAGAGAAATGAGGCTGCCTAATCCTGGACTTCCAGCCTGCAAAACCATGAACTAGATTTGTCTCTTTCCCTTATAAAGTCCCCTGCCTCCAGTATTTTATTACAGTAACAGAAAGTAGATACATGTGATCCTTTGTTTTTAGACCTCATCCAGAAACAAAATAAATTCATTTTTAATATGACAGATAAATTCAGTGATAGATTGGTTATTATTCATAAAGCAAAGGGGATTCCTAGCTGCTTTTCTTTTGGAAATAATGACAAAGGTGGCATAGTTCCATATAGACATGACAGGAACCAAGATCCAAGAGATGACTTAGCCAGGATCTGAAGGCATGAGAGGCAGTGTGAAATTCAAACAGATGTGTCTTTATGTATTGACACATGTCTTAGTCTGTTCTGTTTCTATAACAAAATACCTGAGGCCAAGTAATCTGTGAAGAATATAGGTGCAGCCCGGGATTTAGCTCAGTGGTTCCGTTGCCTGCCTCACAAGCGCAAGGTCCTGAGTTTGATCCCCAGTACCAAAAAAGAAAAAAAGAATATAAGTGCATTTGGCTCACAGTGCTGGACTGGGGAAGTACAAGAACAAGGTGCTGGCATCAGGTGAGGGCCCTCATGTTGCACCATAACATGACTGAGGGCACTAATCAGGTAAGGGCACCATCCTAGGGTCCTACCCCCATCGATTCATCTATTAATCATTTCATGAATGCCCCACCTCCGAATACTACCAACATAATTCTGGGAATTAATTTCCAAAACATAAACTTTGGAGAGTCTCATTCAAGCTATACCAACACACTGAGCATGTACTATTCTCTGTGCTGTCACTGTGCTACTCCTTGGGGACTCAAGGGTAAAGCACAGTCCCTTTCCCTAGGGTACTTCCAAACAGTGCTCTAATAAATCACCAAGATGTCCATTCTCTTGGGGGCCCAGCAGTTTAAGGAAATGAATGGCCGGCCTGGCGTATAGAGTGATGTGGGTGACACCCTGCAGTCTCTGCTGATGTTTCCTGCATTGCTTGGGGTCTAAGGAATAAAGGAATGTGGCTTGCCCACCCTGTGAGGAAGCAGATTTGGTATCCCAGTGGTAGTGGCTTCAGCAACTTCTCAAAAATGACTTGGATTTGTCTCTGTTTTGTTTCCTGGAACAAATAGAAATGTTTGTCTACATTGTGAAGTGAGAAATTCATAGACTCATGGAATCTAAAGCAGGACTAGACCTTTACGACTGCCCAGCATAAACTCCACTGTATGAATAGGGAAAAGCGATGGGGTGGGCAGAGGTCAAGATAAGTAACTAGCTGTAGACACAGACAGTTGCGGCAGAAGCAGCTCCACACTGACAACTCTTACCCTTAGTGCACCCCAAAGGTCAGCAAAATCATTTTAAATATTCAGAGCCATCTACTGATGATGTCTTTAACTGATCTTTAAAAGATCCTAAGCATATTTTGGGGACAGTTTTCAGAAGCTGACTTCAAGGAGAATAGTGAAGTCTTCAAGTGCAGGGCAGGGCAGCCTCCAGACAGGTGCCTGAAGCCCCAGGCTTTGTGCCCATTGAACTTTCCCTGACACTCCCTGGCAGAACCCCTCTGCTCTACCAAGCACTTTTCTAGGATGCACTTCTGAGGAAGAGGTCTTTTGAGATCAATTAATCCATAAAGAAATAACTGAACAATTGCTGGTGAGAATGTGATTTTTCATCATCAGGAATAATAGTCTGAAGTTGTGTTTCTTGTCCTCGTTCTTAGCGCCGATGAATTCAAAGCCTCTGTCAGTATGGACCTGAGGCCCCAGGAGTGGAACATGCCCTTTCTCAGGTGCAAAGAGCTCCCTTCAGAGTGGTGGTCTCCACCCAGCAGCATCTTTGGGCAAATGTCTCCTGCAGCCCAGGGACTAATGGAGGCCAACGCAGCTACCAGCTCACACTCAAGTTCATTGCTTTGTGGCTCACAGCAGAGCTCCAGTCCTTCTGTTGTGTTCTTTACCATGAATATCCCTGGGCAGGCTTGGGGACACAGCTCAGCACTTGGACGAGGAAAACACCCCTTTATCCCTGATGTCTAAAACAGCATATCCTTGAGCCTCCGCTTCTTACCCTGTGACTGTCTCGAGGGTTAATTTCCATCAATCAACTGTCTGCTATTTCCTATGTGCATCTGAGGAAAACCATTTAAAAGAAAGAGGGAAAAAAATTAGGAAATCAAATAGACTTATTACTGAAATGTTGCTCTTATTAAGGTGATATTTTAGCATTGAATTATTTTGAATCTGCTAAGCATCTGTACCTCTTTGTTCCCTCTTTCAGAATGCTAGAAGATGACCTTAAGCTAAGTAGCGATGAGGACGAGAGTGAACAGGTAAGATTTTTCTGACACACTGCTGTTCTTTGGATTGATGTGGGCACTACTGACCCCATGGATGGGGCTGGGTGTGACCTGAGTCATGGAAACTCTGAATTGTGCTGCTTTGTGCTGCTGGCCGTTGCTTTGCTAATTATGAGCTCCTGTGCAGTTGAGCCAGGCTGTTGAAATATCTTGGCCTTCACTTCCCTTAAAACTTTAATTCTATGATTATTACAGGGAAGATGGCTAGAATCAGGTTTCCCTGAGTAACAGAGCCCCTCCCTTTTTCTGGCAAAGCTAACTGGCCTTCTAGAGCTCAAACATGTGACCTTCCCCTCATCTGTATGCGGCAGGCAAGCTGTAACATTAAATATTGAGAAGTCTTATACAGATATTATTAACACAGAGAAAGCGCGAACACAGAGGTGAGCTAAAATGATGAATAAAAAATAATCACGCTCAGTCTAGGCTGTTTGTCTTAAATGATAAATGTGCTTGAAATATTCTCCCTTGCTGTTGATTTATCAGCTGGAGACATCAGTCAGGGGGGTTATAAATACTCTTCTGATCAGTCAGTTAAGGTGAAAAAATATCCACTTAACATTCATCACTTTAACTTCTGCATTTCAAGAAATGTTTGTGTTTTAAAGCAAGTTTGAAAACACTAAAGACAGATTTTCCTACACTTGAATTTCCTTTTTCTCATCACCTTCACTGTATTTTGTCAAGTTTGGATAAATGGCATGGGTAGAAAGACAATTCAGAGGGGTTTTATGAGTCATTTTTACAGGTAATACAAAATACTGTATGTGTGCCACTCAGTTGAGTTTGGAATCGAAAACCTAATACAAAGGCATCATGAAAGGCTGCTGTCCAGACATGTAAATACAAATAATGTACAGCGAGAGCAAGAGAGGTGAAATGAAAGTCAATGGAGAATTTGTAGGGAAAATGTCCACACAGAATGTGGCAGTTGGGTCACAGGAGCCAAAGATTCCTCTCCTCGTGAGGGGAGCAGAGCAACAAGGATATGAGGGGGTTCAAAGAATCTGGAAACCAGGTTGGCAAGCGGAGAACACCCCAGAGAGATAAGGTTGGTGAGATGATAAGGACTGTCTTGAGTATTTTAGAGACTGATTAATTTAACTTGCTCCTGCATGGTCACACCAGGCAAGCGAGTACCCACACCTCAGAAATCTTAGCCGAAAGGTAGAAAAGCTTCCCTCCTGATTTGGATTCATCTCTAAGAGATTAAAAGCAAATTATTTCATCCCTTTGTGTTTTATCTGATTGAGAGGTATGGTATGAATGAAGTCATGTCAAATGTGTGAAGTGTATATACTTATATTTCAAAAAGGAGTCACGGGCTATTTTATTTAGCCAACGTTTCTTAATTTGGAAATACTTGAGCTATTTCCAGAAAATATTTCCAATGAAAACTCAGTTTAAACTCATTATGAATAATGTACTATACACACACTCTAAAACAGTAAAACCTTTCAGTTGACTCACTCACTTTATGAGCTACTCTTTTCCAGTTTGTAGCCATTGATAACATTGTATTGTGAATAACCAGGCCACATCCTTTATTCTTGCATTTAATCCCTATGCAATAAAAGAAACTGACAGAATGAGTGATTTGTATACAATAATCCCTGTTGCATAATTAAGACTCCACGCAGTGCTTTTGTATATGGCACTTTAGGTTACTGCTTCAACACTAATTATTTTAAGTTGTTCTGCTTTGACCTATAATAGTGCCCTGGTCTAATAAAAAATGCATAATTTCTGGGCCGGGGATTTAGCTCAGTGGTTCTGCCACCTGCCTCGCAAGCACAAGGACTCGAGTTCAATCCCCGGTACCAAAACGAAAAAAGCATAATTCCCTTACTTCAAAAAAAAACTAATGATATATTTTTTTCTCCCCAAGACCAAAATGAGATTTTTCCCCCGAAAGAATGTAGCATGTACACACACGCACACATACTTCATTCTTCTTTTTCTGACATTGTGAGATGAGTGAACATTTACCAGAAATGATTTTCCCTGACATAATCAGAATTTGTCCCTTACCCCAAAATCTTTCAAAAACTTACCATGTACTTCCCTGCCTCAGTAAGCACTCTGAGGTCCTTAACCTTTTCTTACATTATATCTGATTGTCTGTGAATACTGGCACAATGTGAACACCGGCAGATGTCCACAGTAGCTGCAGGTTCCTGCACCTGCTTGGCCTCCCACAGTCAGCCTCTAACTCCTGTGTGTTTGAATCCTCCTGTCTAATGCCACCTTTCTTCTTCCTTGTGATCTTAGAGATAAAGACAGCAGTTTAGTTCAGTGATGAGGACCGCAGGAGCCTTCCTCCAGAGTTCAAATCCTGGCCCTGTTACTTAGTAGCTTTGCAGCCTTGGTCTGGCCCTCAACTGCTGTGCTTCGGGGCTCCATTTGGAAACCGAAATCAGTGCTAGATCCCCATGCCTGCCACTTCCTCAGAATGTAAGGTCACCAGTCATCTTCAGGTCACCAGATCAGTAGGCAAAATTTGTTTGCTTTTTATTGTTTATAAAAATGATAAAAATTAACTGGACATGGTGGTATAGGCCTACAATGCCAGCTACTCAAGAGGCTGAGGCAGGAGGATCACATGAGACCAGGATTTCCAGACTAGCCTGGACAACATAGCAAGACTACATCTCAAAATTAATTAATTAAATAATTAATTAGTGAACAATAAAATTAAATACAATATACGTAGAGAAAAGCACATGTACCCTAAGTATACAATTTGTTCAATATTCATAAAACAAATAGCATGTAACCAACACCCAGATCAAGAGACAGACATAAATAGCCTCCCCTCCCAGTCACCAGCCTCCAGGAATAATCACTCTCCTGTGTTCTAACACCACAAAGTAATTTTGCTCATTTTTGAACTCTTATATCAGTGGTGTCATCATAAAGAATGTACTCCTTGTGTCTGGCTTCTTTTACTCAAACATGATTTGTGGGATTCACCCATGTTGTTCCGTGTAGTTGAAGTTGTTCATTTTCATTGCTGTATTGTATTCCATTGTACACATATACCATACTTTATCTATTCCACTGCTGGTGACCAGGGGGATATTTTGAGCTATTAGAATAGTGCTGTTATAAGCATCCTTTTATGGCTCTTTTATTGGCATATGGACCACTTCTGTTGAATCTATACTCAAATATATAAATGCTAAGCAACATTGGCAAATCATCCCAAACCATTTTCCAAATGGTTGTACCAATGGACATTCCCACTAGCAATGGAGAAGAATTTTAGTTGTTCCCATTCTCACCAGCTATTTCTTTTGGATTTTTACAAGATACGTGGGTTTTAAGTTTTCTATTTTGCACTATATTCATCGAGTTTGTTACTGTGGTAATGCTAGCCTCATAAGATAAATTGGGATGTATTCCCAGCTTGTCTTTTTTGTTGAAGATGTTTTGTGAAAATTGATGTTACTTCGTCTTAGGAAGAATTCTCCAATGAAATGATGCAGGCTTGGAAATTTTTTAAACTTACAAATTCTATCTCCTTAATTGTTATAGAACTACTCAGATTATCTATTTCCTACTGGCTGAGTTGTAATATGTGTTCTTCAAGTAATCAGCCTATCCATGTTTATGTGTGTAGATTTCTCCACAGTATCCCTTTATTGTCCTTTTGATGCCTGCAGAATCTGTAGCTATAGCCTCCATTTCATTTCTGATCCTCATCATTTGCCTGCCTATTTCTTTTTCCTCCCTTTTTTACCTTCTCTCCCTTTCTTTCATTCATTCTTTCTTTCTTTCTTTATCCCTGTCTATCTGTCTGTCTGTCTGTCTCTTTTCATCAGTCTTACTAAAAATTTATTTACTAAATTTTGTGGACTAGCTTTTGGATTCATTGATATTCTTTATACAGTGGTACCTTAGTTCATGAACTTAATTATTTCCACAATTCTGGTCACAGAATTCATTCTATGAATTAAGTCCACTATATAACTTTTCTGCTTTCAATTTCACTGATTTCTTATCTTTATTATTTCCCTCTCTTTGCTTCCTTTGGGTACATATTTTGCTCTTTTTCTAGTTTGTCGAAAAAAGTTTAGATTATGATTGGAGACATGTCCTCTTTTATAATGTAAGCATTTAGTGCTATCCATTTCACTCTCAGTGCTGCGTAGCTTTATCGTACAAATTTTGACCTGTTGTGTTTTTATTACCAGTCAGTTTAATGAGACTTCTTTGATTCATGGATTATGTATAAGTGTATTGATTTCCAAGTGTTCAGAGAACTTCTTTAATCTGACTTTTATTGGTTTCTAGTTTTGTTCCATGATGATCAAAGAACATACTCTGTATGATTTAAATTGATAAAAATTTGTTGAGGACTTTCATGTGGCCTGCATTGGTATGTGTTTTATGGGCACGTGAAAGAATGTGACTTCTGCTGTTTTGGGGGCAGACTGTTATATTAATATTAATTATGTCATGCTTGATGTTTTGAGTCTTCTATATTTTTTCTGACTTTCTATTTACTCTGTCAATTGCTGAGAGAGTAATATTTGTGAATTTGTTTCTCCTTTCCATTCTACCAATTTTTTCTCTTCATGTATTTTACAGCTCTGCTATTTGGTACATACACACTTAGGATTGCTATGTTTTGGTAGATTGACTCTTTTATCATTTTGTAATGTCTCAACCTAGCTCTGGTCATTTTCTTTCCTCTCAAGTCTCCTTTTTCTGAGATGAGTAGAGATACTCTTGCCTTCTTCTGAGTAGCGCTTGCATATTGTAACTTTTTTCATCTTTTTATTTTCAAAATACCCATGTTGTTACATTTGAAGTAAGTTTCTTATAGACACCATATACTCATCATGTATTTGTCCACTCTGCACATTTCTGCTTTTTAATTGATATATTTATACCATTGACATTTATTGATAAATAAATGATATTTAATTATTGATAAATTATTGATAAATTATTGACTCAATTTAAGA